TAAAAAGTCTTAAAATAACAAAATGGTGGGCTGGGGATGTGGCTCAAGCAGTAGCGAGCTCGCCTGGCATGCGTGCAGCCGGGGTTCGATCCTCAGCACCACATACAAACAAAGATGTTGTGTCCGCCGAAAACTAAAAAATAAATATTAAAATTCTCTCTCTCTCTCTCTCCCTCCCTCTCTCACTCTATCTTTAAAAAAAAAAAAAATAACAAAATGGTAAAAAAAAAAAAAAAAAGTTTGGGGATAGTAATTATAGAAAGAAAATAGGGGATGGGAGGATGAAGGAATCCCATGGATGAAAGTCACTGGCAAACTTAGTCCTTGAATTAGTCAGTGATCAAAATCATAGAGCCAGATAATAGAATGGTGGTTGCCAGGGGCTGAGGAGAGTACAGCAGTACTGGAGAGTTATTGTTTAATGAGTATGGAGGGTTTTTTTTTTTTTTGTGGTTCTAGGGATTGAACCCAGGGCCTAGTGCATGTATGCAAGGCAAGCACTCTACCAACTGAGCTATATCCCCAGCCCTGGAGTTTTAGTTTTATAAAATGAAAAGAGTTATGGAGATGATGGTGATGTCTTTACATTATGAATGTATTTAATACCACTGAACTGTACACTTAAAATTGGTTAAAATGAGCTGGGTGTGGTGATGCACACCTGCAATCCTAGCAACTTGGGAAGCTGAGGGAGGAGGATTGCAAGTTCGAGGCCAACCTCAGCAACTTAGTGAGACCTTGTCACAAAATAAAAAACAAAAAGGGCTGGGATCTAACTTAAGGTAAAGCACCCCTTGGTTCAACCTCCAATGCTGCATATAAAAAAGAAAAAAGAGTGGGGGAGAGAAAATTTATATTGCTATTTGCTTTATGTATACATAAAGAAACTCTGGAAGAATACATAGAAATGAGCCACATTGAGATCAGGGATGAGAATTGGAAGGAACTGGGTGGGGTGAAAACTTTCACTCTATACCTTTCTATATATTTAAAGCTTACTTTAAACATGCCAATGTGTTACCAGTTATTACCAAAATAATGAATTTTGAAAATTAAACTGTTTATATTTGAGTTGACCAGAGAGAAAGTGAAGGAATGGTGGGGAGGAAATGTAGAGAGGGCAAATGGAAGCCATCTTCTGAGAAAGCTTTGCTGTAATGGGAAGCAAAGCAGTGCAGATGCTGGAGGCAAACACATAGCTGAGGAGGATTTTTTTTTTCCCAAGTATTTATTTTTTAGCCGTAGTTGGACACAATACCTTTATTTTACTTATTTATATGTGGTGCTGAGGATTGAACCCAGGGCCCCGCATGTGTGAGGCAAGGATTCCACCACTGAGCCATGACCCCAGCCCGAGGATTTGTTTTAAGGTGGGAGAAATTACAGCATGCTTGCATGCTGCTGGCAATAATCAAGTCAGGAAGAGAAAAGTGGTGCTGCAGAAGAGGGAGGGACAGTCACTGAAGTAATATATTTGAGTGGGTGACAGGGTCTAGAATTCACATAGAAGGAGCAACAGGGCTGGGAGGTGGTGGTAGAAGTGGAAAAGATTTTCTCTGCTTTTTTCTATTTTTTTCAGAAAAGAAGCAAGCAAGATTAGCTGAAAGGGAGAAGAGTTCAGGACATTGGACATTGAAGACAGAAAACAGAAATTCAACTTGACAGATACTAAGATCCATACCTGAGTCCAGAGGTGATGATAATGATACCATAGAGGGCTGGGGTTGTGGCTCATCAATAGAGCACTTGCCTAGCACATGCAAGGCCCTGGGTTTGATCCTCAGCACCACATAAAAATAAATAAATAAAATAAAGGTATTGTGTTCAATTACAACTAAAAAAATCTTAAAAAAAAAAAAAAGATACCATAGAGTCAGAGGACTACCGGGGATTGGACCCAGGGCCACTCTACCACTAAGCCATGCCCCAGCCTATCACTCTATATTTATCTCCCTAACTAAATAATAAACTCTACAAAGGCAGTGGTGCCTTTTTTTTTTTTAATTTAGGGGTGGGGGGGGTACCAGGGATTGAACCCAGAGGCTGAACCACATCTCCAGACCTTCTTATTTTTATTTTTTAAATTTTGAGACAGGGTTCTCACTAAATTGCTTAGGGCCTCAATAAATTGCTGAGGCTAGCTAGGACTGAAGTCCTCCTGCTCTGGCCTCCCAAGCTGTTGGGATTACAAGTATGTGCCATCATGCCCAGCTGTAAAAGGTGTTTATACTAAAGTGACTATTCATCTGATAAATGTGACTGGTCCACATTAGTCATACAATGAGTTCACTGAAAGCATATCCTCAGGATGCACTAGGTTCACTGGACCAAGATGTGGCAGATATCACACAAAACTACCTCACATGGCTCCATGGTCCCATTCCCATCTAATGTGCCACTGGGAGACACTGAGAGGATGGCTCACTCATTTGGTATTTGACCTCAAAAGAAGGGCTGTCAGGGACAGGCAAGGAGGAGGACAGTCATTGCAGATGCTGGTCAGAATAGCAGGCTTCCTTCCGGGAGGCAGCAGTGCCAGGCTAATGATGGTAATAATGCAGCATAGGAAGGGGGAGAGCCTGGAGGGGTGTGCATGTCAGCAAAGACTCAACCTGAAGCTGTAGGCAGAGATCAGGGAGAGCAGGCAGATAGACAGGAAATTCAAGATAAGAGCAGAGGAGAAAAGGAAAAGAGTTTAGAGTGGGCAAGGGTCCTAGAAGGAGGACTAAGCAATAAATATTGAGTATCTGCCATGTGCCATGGTACTGTAGTTGGTAGTATAGGGTGTAGTTGGGATCTAGGGTGAACAAGAAAAATGAAGTCTTTGATCTCAAGCGTATGTGGGAACAGACATTAAAGAGATATAAGATCATTCAGAAAGCAATGGGTCTGAAAGACAATGAAACAATGATGAAGCAGAATTTGGGGACCACGTTAGATTTTTGTTTTATGTGTGTGTGTGTGTTGTGGTGTTGGGCATTAAACTCGGGGCCTTGTGCATGCTAGACAAATGCTTTATTACTGAGATATGCCCCCAGCCCCCCACTTTAGATTTGGAGTAGAGATCTGAATGGCAAGAAGAAGTCAATCAGGTAAAGATGGAGAAAGGGGTAGCAAAATATTTCAGGAAAAGGGACTCAAAGTGCAGGGTTGTTAAGAAGATAATTTCTGATGTTCTAGAACAGTAAGAAATCTGATTTGAGCCAGGTGTGGTAGCCCAGGCCTGTAAACCTAGGTAATTGGAAGGTTGAGATGGGAGAATCACAAGTTCGATTCCAGTTTGGGGTACTTAATGAGACTATTTCAAAATAAAAAAAATAAAAGAGCTGAGGCTGTAGTGCAGTGGTAGAGTGCTTGCCCAGTATATATAAGGCTCTGGGTTGATTCTTACTACTTGTCCCCAGCCCACACAAAGAAGTCTGATTTGTCTTTGAGTATGAATGGGAGTACAAGTTGGTGGGCTTCTCCTTACAAGGTGTTCAGATTTATTCTAAGTATAATAAAAAGCCACTTGAACTTTTAAACAAATAAAAGCATGATATGATTTAGATTTTTGAAGTATTACTAATATTGTGAAGACTAGTTTGTAAAGGATAAGGGCAGAAATGAGGGACCAGTAAAGAAGCTACTGTGATATTCCACATGAAAGTTGATAGCTTGGATCAGGACTATAGCAACAAAGATGAAGAAAAGGGCATGAATTTAGGACATATGTTGGATGCAGAGCCCATAGAACTTGCTGGGGAACTAAACTAAAGGAAGAAATCAGTGAAAAAAAAAAAAAAAAAAAACATCCTAGGTTTTTAACCTTAACTAGGAATTGTCATGTCCCCGCATGGGGAACACTGGGAGAGCAATGGATTGCGGGTGGGAGCATTCAAGACATCTATTCCAGTCACATTAGTTTTTCATGGCTATTAGACATCCAAGTGGAGATGTCAAGTAGGCTGTTGGATAAATGTGTCTGGTGCTCTGGATATAAATTTAGGACTCACTGACATTTACATAGTATTTAAGCCCTGGGACTGGATGAGATCACTGGACAGAGAATGTAGAAAGAGAAGGCCAAGCCCTAGAAGGCTCCAACGTTTAGAGGCCAGAGCTGAGGAAGACTAAGAAAGAACAGCCAGTGGATGGCAACTAGGAAGAGTGCAGTATCCTAGAAATGCAACAAAGACAAACAGGGTAACATGAAAGAAGAGTATGGGGCATGATAGGTTGGGAGTAGGGCTAGGGAAGTCTACATTTGGTAGAGATTTTAGGGAAGGCCTGCCAGAAAACACTGGAGCTAAATGAAACTGGAATAAAAAAGGTGAGTCATTGTGAAATGTCAAGGAAAAGTATTCCAGATAGTGGGAACAGCAAACGTAAAAGCTCTGAGGTAGATTCAGTTTGTCTTCTAGATCAGATCCACTGAGGCTGAGACATAGAGATCTTTAGGGAAGAAAATCAGATACACCCAGGGACCAGTTTTATGCGGCCCTGTAAGTCACAGTAGGGAGTTTGGATATTGTGAGTACTGGAAAAGCCAAGTAGAGTAATTGGGACCTGATCCACTTATTTTAAAGATCATTTGGGTTGCTTCAGGGAGAATGCCTTGTAGCAGAGTCAGCGATAAATAGGAGATACGCTGTTGAGATACTCCAATGATGTTGTAGGGTCTTTTCCTCAATCCCTCTCTGCACTATATCCCCACAGCCTTGAGCTCGGCCCTTCTCTACCAGGGGAAACATAGAGTTGAGTACTCAGGAATATTGGGTGACTCAGAATCTCAGAACTACCTGGGGCAATCATGTGTGTCTTTGGAGTTCGGTGAGGGGCGGGAAGCCCACCATCAGAACCCGAAGAACTGGAAGTCGTTCCCCTTCAAACCCTCGCTGCCTTCTCCAGTCCTCCACCCTGAAAACTCTGGTCTCCACTTCTGCAGCGCGGCAGCAGGAGGGTTAACCCGTGAGTGGCCTTACAGACAGGAGGGGGAGAGGCGGAGACCGAGCCGTAAAAGCCGTGCCGAGCACAGCCGAGCTGAGTCGAACCCAGCCGAGGCGAGCATCTCCCGCCGCCACCGCCCAGCGCCCAGCGCCCCGGGCGCCCGCCCCCCTCCGGCTCCAGCGCCTTGCAGCGGGCCAAACCTCCCGACCATGCCTCGTGCCCCACCTGCTTCTGCGACCCCCCAGTCCGGAGTAAACTCGAATACCTGCAGTCGTCTTATCTCCGCACTAGGCATGCAGGTGAGTGAAGGGGACCCTCACGTCCCCACACGGAGGGAGCCCAGCCCTACCCTTCCCGGCCCTTTTGCACGACCCTCGTCGGGCCCAAGCTCCAACCCCCAAGAGCTGGCTCTCCACCTTGCCCTCCATTCCTTTGCTGTCCAGACTCCATCCTGCTCTCCCTGGTGCAGCAGTCATCGTCCTGGCTGCTTCCATTCAGCCTTTGGCTCTGCCCGCGGGCTCCGGGCATCTTTCTGCCTTGGGTCCCCTTTTCGCTTACGGCACTCCCTCCCTTTGCCGACCACCTTTTCCTGGTTTTCCCCACTCCCACCGCTTTCCAGCCCTAGCGGGAGCCCGTAGGATGGGCGGGATTAGGTGCAATGCTGGGGATGGGGACCGGCTCCCGCACCCCAAGGCTCCCGCCCCACCCCCAGCTCCTCTCTTGCGCACAACAGGTCGGTGAGGAGCAGGAGAGTGTGGGGGTGGTGCGCCAGCCGGGGTACTGCGGCCTTCCTGGAGGGGGTGACCAAAGGGGTATGGGGTGCTGGCACTGGAGTTGACTGTGGTAGGGAATGCATCAGGCGGAGGGACAACTGGGTCCTGGAGTCAGGTGGCCACAGATGAGCCCTTCTCCGCTCCACTGGTTTCCTCTACCATTGCTCCCTTCCCTCCTCTAGCCTCATTCTCCCCACCATGGACCCAGCCCTCTCACTTCTATTCCTTATCCCTTTTCACCATGCCCCAGCCCTGTCTCCATATCCCTTTAAATTCGAAGAAACAATTTCCAACTCCTCCATCTTTGCTGTTCCCTGTTTCTCTGTCCCCCAGTCCCTTCCTCATTATGTCTTCTGTATTCAGTTTTCTCTCCTCTCTCACTTATTTCTCTCTATCCCTGATCTATCCATCTTTCTCTCTCCCTTCCCCTTCTACTCTCACTTCTCTGACTGTTCTACCTGGACCCTTCCTCTTCCTCTTCCTGCCCCTTGCCTCTTTGCTGTTTCCCCTCCCTGACCTTTTATCCTATCCTTTTCTCCCTTTAGCTTCCTCAGCATTTCTGGTCTTGTGTACCCACTCTCTCCACTTCTCTCCCCAGTCTATTCCTTTTTAGGGATGCTTGCTCTCCCTTACCCTGCACTCAACCTAGGCTTAACTTCCTTTTTGTCTCTCTCCTCTCTTTCCACTCTTGACCAGCCTTCCCTCTCCCAGTCCTTCACCCACTTCCCATCTCTCCCCACTGTCCATTACCCCATTCCCTTGCCCATACTTGCTTATCTTATTCCCTTGCTGTTCTCCGAGGGTATTCAATGTCCATATTTTAAAACACATATATCATATCTTTATTCACTCTGGGGAGGCTGCCCCCTGGATCTAACACCCTCAGCTCTGAGAACATGCCCCTCTTTCAAAACCAACCATCCAGATTCTCCGAAGACTCTACCCAGGAGAGCTACATTTGAGGGGGTGGCTTCTTCTCAACTCAACCTCTCTTTAGAGGGTACCTATGCATTTGGATGATTAAACATTAAGAGCAAATTATATTCTGTAGTTTTTCTCCCACCCACCTCTCTTTCCTTCTATTTCTCCCTCTCTTCCTCTTTCTCTCCTGAAGATGCAGATGACTCCCAGGGCAGATCATAAGAAAAATGCCTGGGACTACAAGTGGGGTGGGAGGGTTGGAAGGCTCTCCTGTGCAAACACACGCACATATTTGCTGGGATTGCCTTCCCTTCCCTCCCCCAACCCTGAGACTCCCTCCCTAGCGGTAGGTGCTCAAGGAATCACAAGGTTCTTGGCTCTAAATTAAGATCCAAGAAAAGCCTAAGCTGTGGGCAGAGGAAGTGAGAAGGAAGGAAGCCAGAGAAGAAAGAGTAGACCTTGGGGCAGGGAGGTAACAGGGACCTGGGAAGTTATGGATGGGGCTAGGGGCTAGTGAGGGAACCACTTTGGAAGGTTCTCCACCCCCCCCCCCCCAAACGAATGTTAAGCATCAGCGGATCCTGGAAGTCAGAAGCATGCCTTGCAGCCATTCACCCTGGGAGGGGAGATGGGAATAGAACTGGTAGATGAATGAGCTGGGGAAGTAGGGCTGTGGTGTGACCACCCTTTTTTCCCCCAGTAAAGGCTGAAAATCTGGGTCACAGCTGAGGAAGACCTCAGACATGGAGTCCAGGATGTGGTAAGTTTGGCCCAGCAGGGGGAGCTTGGAGACCACTTTCCCTGGGGGCCTGTCCCTTTCCTACCTAGGCCCATCCATGGCCTTCCATCCTGGGACCTAGCCCCTAAGACAAAAGGCAAAAGAGGCTAGAGTTTTTCCAAGGCCTGCCTGCTCTCAGAGAAACCTGGAGGGAGGCAGCCTGGGATTTCTAGTGTGAGCATGTCCTCACCCCTACACTGGCCTGTGTCTCACCCATTTTTCTCTCCCTTCTTGCAGGCCTGCTCTGCTGCTGTCCCATGTCCTTCCTCTCTGGCCACTGCTGTTACTGCCCCTCCCACCGCCTGCTCAGGGCTCCTCCTCCTCCCCTCGAACCCCACCAGCCCCTGCCCGCCCCCCATGTGCCCGGGGTGGCCCCTCAGCTCCACGACATGTGTGCATTTGGGAGCGGGCACCTCCACCAAGTCGGTCCCCTCGGGTACCAAGATCACGTCGGCAAATTCTGCCAGGCACTGCGCCCCCTGCCACCCCATCAGGCTTTGAGGAGGGACCTCCCTCATCTCAGTATCCCTGGGCTATTGTGTGGGGCCCCACAGTGTCTCGAGAGGATGGGGGGGACCCCAACTCAGTCAATCCTGGATTTTTGCCCCTGGACTATGGTTTTGCAGCCCCCCATGGGCTGGCTACTCCACATCCCAACTCAGACTCAATGCGGGATGATGGGGATGGGCTCATCCTTGGAGAAACACCTGCTACCCTGAGGCCATTCCTGTGGGGGCATGGAGAAGGTGAGGAGGCAAGAATAGTGGGGATATGAGGGGTGGGGAGGCTGGTTGAAGACTCTAAGGGAGGCCTTATCTAAGTTTTTTCAGTGAATGTGTCAGGCTGTATCCTGGCATGGATGCAGAGATGAAGATGTTTTCTGAGCCCTCAAGGAATGCAGGTCCACTGAAGACAGATGTGTAAATACTCAGGGATGAGTCAACATAATAAATGCTCTCACAGAGGCAGAAACAGCCTGTTGTTAGGAAAATAGAGAAGTAAGAGAATACATATGCCAGGGGATTAGGACACCTTCAGAGAATTGACATCTGAGCTGGACCTTGACACAGGGGGAGTATCCAGATAGAAGTACACCACAGTGAAAAAGAACGACAAGAGTGATATCTTGGCTCAGGGAGTGCCAGTAGAGGGATGGGGCCAGTGGTATAGGGTCAGGAGAGGGCAGAGACTAGGACACCTCCACCCCCTAATTTCTATGCAGAGAGGTAAGTTCTCTCTGATATTGGTTCCTCATCCTAATCACATATACATGTAATGTTAGGTGAAATACATTTGGGAAAGTGGAAAATAGCTGAGAACTTGGGAAAGTTGGTGATAAGAATAAAGAGGGAGGCTTCAGAGAAGCAGAAAGAGTTGAGCAATGTGGGTTCATACGTCAATACTCCTTAGTCTAACCCCACCCCCACTGCCTCTTGGCTCCTACCTCCTCAGGCCTCCCTACAACTTTCTCCCCACCCCAATCAGGTGTGGACCCCCAGCTCTATGTCACAATCACAATCTCCATCATCATTGTTCTTGTGGCTACTGGCATCATCTTCAAGTTTTGGTAAGCTGGCGGGGAGAAGGTTGATGGTGGATGGGGACTGAATGTTTGCAAATACTTGGAGGCTGGAACAGGGAGGGGACAAGAGCAGCAATTTTGCTGGGGTTGGGGTAGGAAATAGTAAATGAAGGCAAGACCTTGGGAAAGGTAGTGATTTGAGTAGGAGAAAACAGTGAATCAGTGAAGATTCTTTCTTACAGAGAAGTTCAAGGATATTGGGAGGAAAGGGGCATTATTTATGTGTACTGGGGGCTTTGAGGGGACATTTCTCCAAGACACAAAAAAGTGATCCAGGCTACAAGGCTCTTTCTTAGGGCTACCAGGCAGGAGGAAGAAAATCTGGAGCTTTCTTTGCACGTATTTAATATTGGGTCACTCAGTCCTTCACACTTTACTGAGAGAATCATTAGACTCAGGTGTCCATGTCATTAGCTGACTTTGAACTAGAACTAAATGTGCCACATGCTGTGGAGAAGAGAAATTGCTTTTCTCACCATGTATGGGGGAGTGGGCAAATTTAGGGTGTTCTGTGTTAGTGGGGAAAAGGATACTAATCTTGTGGATCCGGATCAGTTTGGGAGCATGATCTACATTCCTGAGCCCCCTGGGAATGGTTTTATGGGCCTATAGTTCCAGGAGATTTAGTATAGGGAACTGTCAGAGGCCAGTTTCTTTACTGTAGGATGTTGGAAGTCCCTGGAGAGGCTAGGGTGACCTCTACAGGCCCAGAATGGGGGCTACTTGAGTGTGTGAGAGGACCTCTTTCCTTCCCATGCACCAGCTGGGACCGCAGCCAGAAGCGGCGCAGACCTTCCGGGCAGCAAGGTGCCCTAAGGCAGGAGGAGAGCCAGCAGCCACTGACGGACCTGTCCCCAGCTGGAGTCACTGTGCTGGGGGCCTTCGGGGATTCGCCCACCCCCACCCCTGACCATGAGGAGCCCCGAGGGGGACCCCGGCTTGGGATGCCCCAGCCCAAGGGGGCTCCAGCCTTCCAGTTGAACCGGTGAGGGCAGGGGCAATGGGATGGGAGGGTGAGGAGGGAAGGCAACTTAGGCTTCCAGAGCTGGGATGGGGGTGTTCCCTAGGTGGGTAGCCTGGTCTTTCACAGCCCTTGGCTCTCTTTCTTAGTCTGGTCCCAGGCCTTCCTAAGGGGGACCAGGCCAGCTCCTCTCTAGGGCGGGCCCTTCCTTCTCCCACTTTCTCAGGCTCTGTGTCCTATTCTCATGCTGACCTTTAATTCCTACTCTGCCCTCTTAACCCTGAGCCCCTTTTCTGTCTTGAACTTCCCCTTCGATTGTGGCCTACCTCTTGGTTCCTGACTGTGCCCTTTCCCTCTTCCTCTCAGGATTCCCCTGGTGAATCTGTGATGCCCCCCGCATGTTGGGGTGCTGCCAAGCAGGAGGCCAAGGGGCCTGCATAGCCGCCATCCACTGAGGGTGGGGCAGCTGGGGCCACAGGGGCTCCGGGCTCCTGCCCTTGCACACCACCTGGAACACTCACTGGCCCTATGGGCAAGCATACCTGCCCACCCTCCTGCAGTTGGGGGTTTCACATACTTGTGACTTTGGGTCCCCCATCCCTACTCTCGCACACTCACATGAAAGCCTTGCACATTCACCTCCACCCTCATAGGCCACTGCACATACTCATGCTCCTTATGGCCACTCTTCTGTACCCTCTCCCCATCCACATCTCTTTGCTCAGCTGACTGCTCACATTTTCCCTCTTGTTTCACATTTTCTCTCTCCCTCCTTGGCTCAGTCACTGCTGAGTCCATGTTTCATGCACACCTCACCTCTCCTGAGCATTTCTGGCCCAATGTTGTGGCTTAGTGTTGCGTACTCACTCTCTGCTCATGCCCACTGGTCTAGTTTTTGTGGCCCCTGCATGCTGCCCAAGAGGTGGGTGGGAAGTGAGCTGGGGGCTCCTCATGCCCTCATCTGTCATGGCCCCATCTCATTCCATGTAATGAGTTTCACTGTCTTCTCATACCACTCCAAGGGCACTGGTATTACCCGGAGGGCTCCCCCACAGGAAAGTGGGTAGTGAAGCCCCACTGCTAATTCTGTTATCTGAGAGATGGATTTTGGGGAGTTGCCTGCTGCACTACATGAGAAAGGGACTCCCAGTTGCCCTTCCCTCCCTCCCAAGTCCCTTTTGTCTTATCTGTCCTGGCTCTGTGTGTGTGTGTGTGTGTGTGTGTGCGCGCGCGCGTGTGCGCGCGTGTGCCTCTCTGAAATTCAGAGCCCCAGAGCCAGTTCTCCACTTCCCAGCCTCTCATAGGGCCTCCCTCACTCCACCTAGGCTGCCAGGGACTGGAGCCAGCTGGTTCAAGGCCATCCGGAGCTCTGCCTCCACATCTACCCTTTCCTCTCCTTTCCTCCCTCCTTCATTCTTCTCCTTTTACCTTCTGCCCTCTCCCTCTCCTCAGGTCCTTCCCTACTTCCACCAGTTTTTCCATCTACCTTCTTCCCCTCTTACCTGGCTCCTATGCTGTGATATATATTTTTGTATTATCTCTTTCTTCTTGTGGTGATAATCTTGAATTCTTGTGGGATGTAAGTTTCAAAATTTTCAAATAAAGCCTTTGCAAGATACTTGAATCCCCTGGTTCTGCCTTATCACCGCTGCAGAGAGGAGGAGAAGGGGGTGGGCAGGAAAGAAGAGTGAAAATAAGGATGAGGTGGAAAATTCTTCCAGGCTGGATGTGATATGGCCTGCCTACCTAGAGCAGGGGACTGATGAGGGTTTTAACTTGGGACAGAATGAAAGGAAGGGAAAAGGAACTGAAGGGAAAAGTCCTCAGGAGCACCAGTGGAAGAGAAAAACTAGAATCAGAAGCGTGGCTTGCTTGTTCCTTGTCAGTGAAGGTCAGGAGACACCAAGAGAAAGGAGAGAGAAAAGGGCAAAAATTATGTAGGAGGAAAGGCAATGGACTAATTCAGAAAAGGAAGAGAGAGCTTCTAAGAAAGATGGAGGGAAAGGATGAAAGGAAAAGAAAAATGGAGCAAAGGAAAAGGAATGTAACTGAGCCATAGGAAATGTAACTGCCCTGCTTCTTTTATTTTCAGTTTTTCTCCCTAACCTGCCCCCACCCATAGCTGCCCCCCAAAAGCTGTGCAGCATTAGAAGCCCTGTGGTTAGCTCATTAGCTTTCCCTACTCTGCCCTCTCTGAGAAAGAGGGACTGCTGGGGTGTGGGGGTGGAATCAAGGGGTGTGTTTGGGGGAGGGAACACAGGCTGCCCAGCTGGGATCAGTCACCTCTGAGGCCCCAATTCTAGGTTTGGCTCTTGTAACAATCCTATGAGAGCCCACACATCATCTTCTCAGCTGTTGCTAGGCTCTGTTGCCATGGTAACCACCCAGGTCCCATTCCCCACCCCCATCTGTGCCCCACCTGCTCCCTGGAAATGGGGTAGCCCCAGGGAGGTTAGGAGATAGTGTAGTATACAAGAGGACAGTGTGGGCTGCCTAGGACTGTACCTGCCTCCATGTGTTTATCTTTGACACTAGAATTGGGAATGCATATGTTAGTAGGTATGTGCTTTAGGTGTTAGAGAGCCTCCCTGAGTCCCTGCAGCATATAACAGTGATTGTGAGGAGGAAGAAGTCTGTTTCTCCGGACTGGAGCAGAATGTATGTTAGGGCATCAAACTCCCTCAAAAAAGACTGCTACAGGGAAAAGAAGCAAACAGGGGCCTGCACTGATGAAGCAGAGGTGCAAAGCAAACAACCTTCTGAGGAGGGCTGCATCAACCCAACCCCCCACCCCCACCCCAAAAGATCACAACATGCAGCTAATGGAAGAGAGAGGGCTGGATGGAACCTGAGGGTACAGGTTGAGGTGCTGATGGGATGTGAGGAATCTGAGGAGGCTGGGAAAGTTACACCTATGAACCTTTTCTGCTTTCCCCATAGGAATCCAGTTCTTGGGGAGTGGAGGGAAGAGCACTGGCACAGAAAAATACTTGTCTCAAGTGCCTGGAGAGCTTACTGGGCTCTCACCTTCAGCAACTGTCTCCCTTCAAAGGGACAGTGTGACCCTGAAGCTCATCCATATGCAAAAGGCACACATGAAGGCCCCTAATGATGAGGGAATTAATTATCCCCTGATTAGACTGCTGTTTCCCTAAATTTAAATAAATTAAAATATACCAGCAAGACACTGGAAATTCTTACCTGTTCCCTCTCCCTAAATGCTACCTTACCCATGGAAAGTCAAATGGCTGGAAAGAGAGAAGGAGATATCCTAGATTTCTAGATTGTTCTAGAAGAATTAACCCAGACTAAGTCACATTGTCATGCTAACCATGAAAAGGCATGAGGTGCCAGGCACTACCATGCATGCCTGTAATCCCATCAATTTAGGAGGCTGAGGGAGGAGGACAGTAAGTTCAAGTTCAGCCTGGGAAACCTAATGAGACCCTGTTTCAAGATAAAAAATAAATAGGGCTGGGGATATAATCCAGTGACAAAGTGTCCTGGGTTCAAGTCTCAGTACAGCAAAAAAAAAAAAAAAGCAAGAAAGAAATGACATGAAGTATGAAGTCCTGGGGAACAGACCCTAACAATTCTCTCCTGTAATTGAAACAGACTATGGGGCCTTGGGAGGACCTCAGAAGGCTGCAAGTAATAGAAGATTCACAAAACAAGAGCCATATGGCTTTTTGGGGAATTGAAAGGTTCTTAAGGCCACACAAGAGAGGAACCACTGGAAAAAGCATCTCATCACCATGCTTTCTTTGCCTCCTGGGCCAAGAATCAAATGACTTAGCCAGGTTTCTCCTAAGCATGTTTCTGGAATGCTCACCATTGTGGCTCAGACCTAACCAGGGAATGGGGAAGCCCCCAAGAGGAGGAATCTCTCAGAGCTCAGGGTGTGGAAGTGACTCAAGATGGAAAGAGTGTGCCAGCTGGAGAACCCATGGCTAAAATTAACAGCCCTCCTCCCCCATGCCCATTTATTGCTCTAAAGCTTTGCTCTAAGGAGTTAAAAGCACTTAAAACTTGCTTCTTAACAACAAGGGCAGGAGCAGGGTTGACAAAGGCATTTAGGTTCTGAAGTAGCTAGCTAATTATGTACACAGGAGAACCAGAACTTACTGAGATTACTATTATTTTCTTCCACTTTTTTAAATGTAATTAACCATTAGAAAGAAATTAATTTTGATACATGCTACAACATGGATGAATCTTGAATACATGCTATGTAAAAAGTCAGACACAAAAGATCACATATTGTTTGATTCTTTTCATATGAAATGGCCCCAAATAGGCAAACCCATAGAGAGAAAGTAGATTACTGATTGCCAGGGGATGGGGAAAGGGAGAAATTGAGAGTGACTGCTAATGGGTAAAGGATTCTTTTTGGAGAGAGAGGGAAATGATCAGTATTAGTGCAGATGGTTGCACAAAATTGTGAATATACAGAAACCACCGAATTGTACACTTTAAAATTGCTGAAATGGTGAATTTGATAATTTAAAAAACAAAGATGCTATGGGAGCATTTAAAACATTATGATGAAATATTGATGGGCTGGGGGAGGGGCTAGGGTTGTGGCTCAGCGGTAGAGTGCTAGTCTCTCACGCACGGGACCCTGAGTTCGATCCTCAGCATCACTTAAAAAATAATTGAGTGAAATAAAGTTATTGTGTCCAATTACAAAATAAATATTTTAAAAAATATATTAACAGGCGTGGTAGCCCATGCCTGTAATCCCAGCAGCTTGGAAGGGTGAGGCAGGAGGATTGCTGAGTTCAAAATCAGCCTCAGCAAGAGTGAGCTGTTATTTCTTCCACTTTTTTATACCAGCCCAAAAGTCAAAGTTTCGTGAATCAGTCATCAATAACCCATGCAGCAGCCAGGCATGGTGGTACATGCCTATAATCCAAGCTACTGCAGAGGCTAAGGCAAGAGGACTGCAAGTTTGGGGCTAGGCTAGGCAATAAAGAATGTTTCAAAATAAAAAGGACTAGGAGGGTAGCTCAGTGGTAGAGTGCCTGCTTAGCATGTTCAAGTTCATGGGTTCAGTACCGAATAATAATAAAACCCAGGCAGGACACACCTGACCCTTTAAGTCCTCCATCTTACCAACTGTTGCTAATTAACAGACACTCGGTCCTGAGCCTAAAAAAATGTGATAAAGGGAGTAGACACCTTTAAAAAGATTCAAACTACAATTATAAACTAAAGATATATATCATCTATTTAAATATTTAAATGTTTAAAAGCATCCTTTGCTGCTGCTTATGATTGGGGTTGGCGGACAGGAATCACTTAAATCTTCAATCTTGTTTTTTGTAAAATGGGCATTATAATTATTTGTTAGGGTTTTTTTTTTTTTTTTTAAGTCAGAAAGGGCTCATTACTGTTAATAGGGTGGACCTCAATTCTGCTTCAGCTAAAACAAAGCTGAACCCAGAGGGATTCTGAGCAGATCATGGTACAAGCTTGTGGTAACACTCATTTACTAAAGTAATATTTATTCAGCATCTACTATTCTACTATTCGTTCAGCAAAGTGTAGTTTCTTCCC